AAGATCTGTGAGCAGAGAAACTAAGTTTATTTTGTGGGGAAGATTGAAAACTTTAAAAAATAATGCTCCCTTCAGAATTTTCCACCTTCATGTGGTACCACTTTTGATAATTAACTGGTGATGCTATATATGCTTTTAGCAATTTAATAGTTTAAATTATTTTAAAATTTTAATTTAAGAAAAAATTTAAATTAAAAAAATTTAAAAGTTACTCAAGTATTCAGATGATTGGAGTCAACCACTGACTGAATTGTGATTTTCAACATTTGCAAAGTTTTGATGCTTTATTTTGCTTTACTATTTCTGCTGTTTTCCTGCCCTGCCTTTACCCTTCAGGGCTGTGTGAGTTGAAAAAAAAAAAGCAGGATTGGGAATTGTTATATGGAGAAAAATTGCCTTTAAAAAAATGGAAAAACAGTCTTTTAACATTGCTAGAAACATTGTATGTGATATTATGGTACATAAATAAGCTTATATAGATGGTAATTTATTGGAGAATACATTTGAAAGACTAGAATATAATTTGGTCATGTAGCAGTCTTCCCCAGATGCTGTGGGCAACATGACCTAGCAACCCAGATTTTTCATTCTTCTGGTCATATGCTGATCTTTTTAGACTAATGACTTTAAATGAAAGTATAGAAAGCTCAATATTCATATTCTGTATATGGGAATGGAAAGTTCTACCAATTTTGTCAGCTTGCCAAGCTCACTGGGATTAAAACCTCTACTGAGACACACTAGAATTGTTAGTCTGTTTAGTAATCAGATGCAACTTAACTTTTTACAATCTCAATAAAACGTTCAAGTAATTGCATAGATTCCATTCCTATATAGCCAATTCCCAAATGGCAGGCTGTATCACAATGTAATGGTAATTCTGGGAAGAATATAACTAGTTGTTTCATGTCAAGGGATGAAGATCCTGGAGAAGGGTGCTTTTTAGTGGGTTTAGATTAAATGCTGTTGATCTCATCTTGGTTCAGATCTCTGCCTTTGTTTTGGAAAGGATTTCTGTATTCCTCCTCCACCCCTCCCCACCCACAACTCAGAGGGAGCCAATCCTGGAGGCCTCCAAGCACTCTTCTCAGTCTCCTGTGAAACCTTGGACTCGGTTACCAAATCAGGATTTGCTTTGGAATCCTCTGGGCGTACTTAAAACCTCAGGTCTCAGGTTTTACTTAATTTGATTAAAATCTTTCTACCTGTAAAAATATAATGGAAGAGTAACCAGAAACTATTTATTCATTTATTCAGCAAGTATTTTTGAATAGAAAAGGTATGTGCTATGTGCCTGGCCATGTATACAGTGCTGGAGATCCAGGTGTAATAGAACTGAGTTTTTGGAAATTTACATGTAGTCTGGTGTGAATTTAGTGGGAAAGATGAGAGAGTAGAGAAAGATTCTGTGGCGTAGAAAAGCAAAAATTAACTTTGCTTATGGGATTCAAGTGGTCAGGGACAGGAGTTGTCTGGGCAGTGACGCTGACGTGTGGTGGTTGAAATGAGAGAAGCCAGCAGAAAGTCATGTGCATGTGGGACACGAGAAGACATGAAGTGAAAGTGACTCTAAGGGGTAAAGGAGCAACACACAAAAAATTTTCTGGAATGAAAGATATGAGTTCAGGATTGAAACAATTCATTGAGCATCCTATCAGTGAATGAGAGAAGCTCACTGCTAAGCATAGCCAATAAAATTCAGGATTCCAGGGATGAATAGAAAATAAAAATGTAGTCCTGAAAGCTTTCAGAGAGAAAAAAAAAATGTAAAAAGGATATGAGTAATCAGAGTAGCATCAGATTGCTCAGTAGCCTTATTAGAATCTAAAAGAAAAGGAAGTCATACTTTCAAAGTTATCTGGAAAATAATTTCCTTCCTAGAATTATGTACCCAGCCAGGCTACCAATTGAGACATGTTAACACACACAGATTCTCAAAACTTATATTCCAGTTCATTTGGTCCAGGCAGCTAATGGAGATTGTGTTGTCAAAAAACAGGAAAAACCCAAGAAAGAGAAATGGAGAATCCAAGACTAGGATTTCCCTCAGAGGAAAAAGGTGAAGAGAATTTTTACATGGTAACAAAGGGAAGTCCCAGTCCAACGGAGGCCTAGCAACCATTCCAAATCAGGATGAAGTATGTAGAAATGTCTCAAAAAAACAAAAAACCCCAAAAAACCTCAAAACCCGCCAAACCTTCCTTTACAAAGGGGAGGGCTACTTGATGTTTTTATTTTACCAAAGGAATAAAAAAAGCTAAGCAAGCAACAGTGACAACAAAAAACAACTGATAGCTCTAGGAGAAACAAAATTGGGCCAGGGATTTAGTTCAGTGGCACCACACCTGCCTTCCACGTACAAGGTCCTGAGTTCCATCCCCAATACCGAAAAAGAAAAAAGGAGAAGCAAAATTATCCAGGAAGGAAATATAATCATTAAGTTCTACATGGCACAGCTGGGAATAGTATTTACTGTGTCAGACTATAGACACTAAATACAGATTGACTTAACCAAATGTTACAGTATAATCAGAAAAGGAAGATGAGCAAATATGACATTATGCATGGAAGTAAGGAATATTATATGCAAATCAAATCCTTATTTTTCACAGGGACAATTTATATGTAATATCTACAATGGAAAATAATCAAGAAACCACACTAATCACATAATTTAAAAATGTGGAGTTAAATACCTGAAGGAAGTGCTAAAGGAGTTGAAATTAGTTGCCTCTGGAGAGTGTGAATTGGGTGTGAGGAACAGTGGAATAGGGGGCTTATGTTTTGTTTTATATACTTCATGGTCCCATTTTTCTTCTTTAAAATTTTATTTATTTATTTATTTATTTATTTATTTATTTATTTATTTTCCTGCATCGGGAATTCAACCTAGGGCCTTTGCTCTAGGTTACATTCCTACCCCCAGCCATTTTTTATTTTTTATTTTGAGACAGGGTCTTTCTCTAAGTTGCTAAATTGCCCAGGATGGGCCCAAAGTTGTGATTGTTCTGCTTTGGCCTCTCAGATTGTTGACATTATTTTTTATACTTAGATAAAATTAATAAAATGTAGGCCTAGCATCTGTAATGCTGGGAAAACCTTGCATGTGATGTTTTGCATTTTGTTAAATGAACTTCTTAGTTTGTGTATACTGTGTACTAGTTTTGGCACATTCCTAAATTTTATCCCTGAAATTGACTGTTAATTGTGGAAAAATTTTTAAGGTAATTGTTGATTCACATACATTTATAGCCTCTGTCAGATACGTGTTTCCCCCAACCCACCATGTTTTAATGTTTACTATCTTCTGAACTTGAGGGTAAATAATCAACCTTTCTCTTTTTTGCCTTCTCCCCAAAGAAACCAACATTTTTCAGTGGCCTCGGGTACCTAAAATAGGACAGCATCAGCTGCACATTAGGGTCTGTGAGCTGACTGCATCATTCAGCAAAGCCTCAGTTGCTTACGGAGATTTTGTAAATATATGTTGATTTTTTGAAAAACTCAAACCTTACAGAAAAGTGGAGAGAGTAGTAAAATGCGCATGTGCCTTTCAGCTATGTTTGCCAGTTCTTAACATTTTATCACATTGCTTTTTTCCCCCTCTGTCCAACACAGACACGTGCGCGTATACACACACACACACACACACACACACACACACACACTCTTTCTTTTTGAGGAGAGAAAGGAGGATGTTTGAGCCATTTTAAAGTATGTTGTGCGTATCATACTTTAATATATCTGCATTATCTCCCAAGAACAAAATCATCTTCCTAAAAAAAATTCCATTTTTTGTCATGGGTAAAATAATATCAAATGCAGTTACTATTCAGATTTCCCTAAAATCTCAGTACTATTTTTCTGTAGTTTTTTTTTTTTTAAATCTAGAACCTAATCACTAATGACACGTTGCCTTTAATCATCATACTTCTTTCAATTCTTATGTTAAGGTGTCAACCTGCATTTATTCTTTTTTTTCCCCTGCATTTATTCTTTCAAAAATCTTCCATAATACTGACAGTCATGAGAAGCTCAGGCTCGTCGTTTATAGAATGGCCTGCAAATGTGGGTTTGTATAATTTTGGCAAGAATATGAATACAAACTTGTTTGCCCACTGGTGTAGCTTTTAATGCAGGTCTGAAATTTTAGTCCATTGTTTTTTTTTTTTTTCTGTTAATCTGTGGTTTGATACTGAATATTAAGAATGGCCACTTACCTGGCGAACAGTAAGAATTCTTAAACCACAGAAAATATCATTGTAATATCTCTGGGAGGGGTAATCTGTTCCTCTGGAAACAGGCATAATATTTTTTTTAAATATCCTTGGCAGTGTTCGTTGGATGACTTAATATATTGTAATCAAGGGCAAGTTTTCTACTCTTTAATTAAGTTTTGCTACGGTATACAGAACAGGGAGCCACTTTTGGAAAAACACTTGGCCAGCTTTTCTATCATCCTTGAGCTGAAAGTTTGTTTTTGGAGTCTAAACACTGGATATGTGTTCAGCGTGCAGCATTTTGGCTGTGCCAGTGCCAGGATGCTCAGTGGCTTAGGTTATGTATATTTTGTGTAAAGTGAGTACAGCGTAGAGAGATGGCATGCCGAACATGCCAGAAGAGCTATGCAAGCCCAAGCTGTTGAAAGCATGCTTCCCGTTTGTCAGGGGTTCCTGATAGCAGACCTGGTGACACAGTATCCTTTAGGCAGAGCTCCTCAGGAGGTGTAGGAAGTGCTGCTACAGGTTTTGTCCCGGGAAATCTGAGCCATTTCCCCTTGGACAGCTGCATTTCAAAGCCCGAGCAAGTTGCTGTTAAATTTTGCACGGGCTGCCTGCGTGAGTGTTTTCGTTTCTATTTGTTTTTGTCTTGGTTTTCTTCTTCCTAAGTCATGATCTTTCTAAAAGTTTCATGGAGCTTGTACATTATCTAAAGTAGGATTCAAAGGATTCTCTGTCATTTATGTGTAATCCAGCTTCTCTTTTTCTTTCCTCTTGCAGGTTTTGTGGAAGTATACTACTTTGTCATTATGAGATGTCGTCTCTCGGCACCTCCTTTGTGCAAATTAAATTTGATGACTTGCAGTTTTTTGAAAACTGCGGTGGAGGAAGTTTTGGGAGTGTTTATCGAGCCAAATGGATATCACAGGACAAGGAGGTGGCTGTAAAGAAGCTACTGAAGATAGAGAAAGAGGTAAAGTCTTTTCCTGCTATCAGCGATGGTCATGGCAGCACTTACATAAACTTTTCAACCTAGAGTTAGAGGGTCACAGGCCTGCAAGGAACTGGCAAGGCCATTGGGCTGCTCCATGAGGCTGTTTCCCAATTTCCATTCTGGGAGCCCCATAAATAGAAAGTATTGCAGTGTGTGCTTTGGGGTTGAGTTCTACTCGGGGTCATCTGAAATGGGAGGATTTCTTTCCCTGGCATGGAAAAGCCAGTGTTCTCTGAGCTGCTCTCCTGGAGGCAGAGGGAGAATGTCAGGCTTTCCCAGGGTTTGTGCTTTTGCTTCCCCAGGGCAGCCAAGAGGGGTCAGTAGAGAGTAATGTGTAGTGTTTTCATCCCCCTGCTCTTGTCTCTCCTTGAATTTGTGGTCCTCTGGAGCTGTCTTTTAAGAAGTAAAAATAGATTTGCATTTCATTTGAAATAAGCAATACAGCCTCTTGGATTTTACCTCTACTTAAATCTCACATTGATGGGATTTATGAAGAATTAGTAGGTGCTAGAGCCTTCCTTTTAAAATCAGAAAAGGGTCTTACCCCAGTCCAAGTCTGGAATTCATGCTGGTTCTGGGTGAGCTCTGAATTAACTCTGAGATCTTTCATCTTGCCCAGGAATGTGGCCCGACAGGCTCCCCACATTCAGCCTCAATAATAAAACCACTTGCAGAACTTATCTTCAGGGGCTTAGCAACATTGATGACTTTTGAAAGTGCTTTTTAAAAATTTAAATATAATTTTTAAAGTGATATACAAAAATTATACATATTTACAGAGTATCATGTAATGTTTTAGTCCATATATATATTGTGTGTAGTGCTCAAATCAGGTTAAGTATACCCATCTCAAACGTTTATTATTTCGCTATGGTGTAAACATTTAAACTCCTTTTAGCATTTTAAAATAGGCAGTACGTTGTCATTATCTGTAGTTTTTCTACTGATAACTGTTAATACCTACCTGCTGGACATTGTTGTGGTCATTTCTATTTATGTCTGGTTTTAGATAATTGTTCTTTTCAGTATCCTTTCAAAGTGAACTTTGCCATAAATATCCTTTCATCTCCCTGAGTGATTTAATTTTTTTCATTAACTGTTGCCAGTGAACTGTAGCAATTGATTAGAGAAGAAAACCCAAATGGCAGCACTTTGTGGGTTTCCTCTCAGCACCACTCTGTAATTTGGATCACCAGCAGTGTTTCTCATTGTTGAAACCGGCTCAGAAGGACTCCGATCTCTGCTTGAGGGGTGGCTGTTGATTTTAGAAAGTTTTAAAAATAGAGAACTTTTAAAGCCATTGTATGCAAAACAGAAAGGTACTAGGTAGAAAAAGTTTGCTATCTTTTACCTCTTTTTGATTAAAAATTTCAATAGTAGTTAAGTAATAAAACCACCTCTTACTCTGGACTAAGCCTTAAACTGTATACTACTGTCCCCATTTTATAGATTGGGAAATAGAACTTTGAGAACTTTATTAAGCTGCCTAAGTAGGGGCAAGTGAAATACAGGAGGCCAGACCCTTTGCTCTTTATTATTTAATTCGGAAACCTCTAGTTGACCAGGTAAGAATAGAAAATAAACCAATTCCATCCACTTATATTAAAAATTTATAATATGACAATATTTTAAGCACTAGGTTAATAGGTTATACCCTTATATTTTGTATGTGAGAAAGACTTTATATAAAACAGGAAATAGATTTTTATAGGCAACATAAATTGAGGCATATTTACTCCAACTCCCTGAACATGCACATGAAATACCTTTTATACTATATCTGAGAGAGCCAGAAAAATGCCATAGAAAAGCATAGGGGTGAATGCAGAAGTTAGAAACTGCCAAATCCTGCTTCCGTGTAGGAGTTTAACCTGAGTGTGTGTAGATTGAGTTGATTACAGTAAACTGTAAGAACTTAACTCATAAACTTATAGGTAGGAAAGAGCAAAGGCTCCACTTCAGTTTAGGGGATTGGTTTATTCAGGGGTGGTGAGTGATCAAGAGATCATTTGGATCAGTATAGATCATTATAGCAAAGCACCCCAAGCACATGCTGAATCCGCATGAGTTTAACACTCGAGACACCTTTGGCTGGGTGCTGGCAGATATTGGAAAGGAAGTATGTATTTCTTGTGTGAATTATTGTTATTCTTTATGAATATTTTTTGGCTTCTAGCTAAGTGTTTTCTAAGTGATAGGATAAGTGTACTAAGTTCTAGTTTTTTTTCCAACTTATTGATTCAATCCCATGTTACTTGATCATTTCTTGTCAATGAGTTCTAGAAGGGCTGGAACATTTAGTAAAATATTCACCACCTTATTTGACTTGTTAAGAATGACATCTGATTATATGCTTTGTGAATTTAGTGAAATATGGAGAAAATATATATCAAATTTTTCAACTTTGCTTATGTTAGAAGGACAAGGAAGACTATTTGTTTCACTTCATTTGCAGACCTCTGGGTTAGTGAGTGTGTGTTATATTCCTCCTTTAATCAGTTTATATATTTTTTTCTAACAAGAAGGAAAAGAAAATAGCAGTTACTTAAAATACTCTTTAAAACGTTATTTAAAAACAACTCTTAAACCTAGAGAAAAATTATAAGAACAATACCATGAACTCCAATATATCCTTTCCCTAAGCTCACCACTTAATATTACAGTTTGTACCATTTGCTTTAATAGTATTGGTTTATATGCAGTTATATTTATTTCAGTTTTGCTGAACCCGAGAGTGAACTGCAGATGCTATTATATCTTTATCTTTAAATGCTTCAACATTCCTGAAAATATAAGCACAGTACAGTGAACAAATTCAGGACATTAATAATGATTCTACTTTATTGAACAATCTAAATTCAGATTTTCCAGTTCTCCCAATAGCTTTTTTTTTAGCAAAATTTTTAACCTCAGATCTAATACAGGATAACAGAGTGCATGTAACTGCTTTATCTGTTTATTCTGATTTAATGTGCAACAGTTTTCCTGCCTTCCTTCCTGTTTGACATTTTTGAAGAATCAAGACACTTGTTATGCATAATGTCCCTTCTTTTTGGTTTATCTTATTTTCTCTTCCCTTAGTTTCAGTTTATACAGTTTTGATAGGAATGCTACTTTGGTCTTATGTCCTTGGTGATCCTTGGCATGATGTTTGTCCAATTATTGGCAGCGTTAATTTTGAACCCTTGGTTAAAAGTTCACTGAACGTACCTTTAGTAAAATATCTATTTTCCCTTTGTAGTTAATAATTAAGCTGTTGGTAGACCCTTTGAGGCAATATAAATATCTTTCCTTAATACCTACCTAATTATTTTAACATCCATCTTGTGTGAATCAGATATTATTGTGATACTTCATTTTGTCAAAAGCAAAATGTTCCTTAATGAGTTTCCCTCCTTATTCCTCTCTTCCTCTTCTTATTTATTTGCTTGAGGACTGTTATTTTTTACAAAGTATTATAGTCCATTATTGTTATTACTCATTTTTGTGTTTAAATTATCCCAGATGTAGTAAGTAAAAGCTCTTTCATGTTGGCTGCTATGTCTTTTTGATATATGCCCCTTAATTTTTGGTGATTTTCTTCCTTTCTGATCTAAAAAGATATCCCAACCCGTCTAGCCCTTGTCCTACTCTTTGAGTCACTCAATTCTTCAGGAAGTCTTGAGTCAGTACGCCTGATTTGGATTATGGTATTGAGGAACCAAGATGTGAGTGCTTTGGTTACTTATTTTTTATTTAAAAAAAAAGTCTTTGGGGGACCTGGGATTTAGCTCAGTGGTGCTACCAACTGCCTCAGGAGCAGAAGGTCCTGAGTTCATCCTTGAACCCCCCCCAAATAAAAGAGCCTTTTTTTCCTTTTGGGAGAAATAATGGTAGAAGAGAAACTTTTTTGTGTGAATTTAACTTAAAATTTATACCTCTGGAAAGATATAATCTTATATTGCTGGTATTTGTGGAGGAGAGTTTACCAAAAGGTATCACTGAAAAAAAAAGAATTGGTTAAATTGGTTATTTTTTTCTAAGCCAGGAATTTTAATTCTAGGACTTTATCCTAAGGAAATAATCACAGATGTGCAGAAATATAGCTACAATAAGAGTTTATCCCAGATGTGTAATGAAGACTTAGAAATAACAAATAATGGTATAGCTCTATAATGAACTCCATTCCATTTGGAAGAATGTTTAAATAGCTCAGAAAATGCTCATAATACATTAGCGAGTGGTGAAAGCAAGTTACAAAAATTTTATATAGGCTGGAATGCAGTTCAACGATAGAGCATTTTGTTAGCTTGTACAAAACCAGGGTTCAGACCCCAGTGCTGGATGAAAAAATATGATTTTCACTGGGATTTGAAAACCACTGCATCATGTATACCTAGCTAATCACATGTCAAACTCCTCCTGTGCACAAGCTCTGCTTGGCAATCTCATGAAGCATAACAAACTAAGGGCTGATTTAGGAATCCAGATTTAGGTAAAACTGCAAATGCTGTCAGATTCCAGCCCCTCCTCACTCTGGTGCTACCCTGAATTTACAGCTTTGTGTTTTAACTTTCTGACCTGAACTCTCTGCTCTTGTCTCACTCTTCTTCTGTGTTGCTTTCTTATTTCTCTAACCTTGGTCACATTCTTTCTTTCACCTGTAATTTCATTATCCTTTTCTGCCTGGGCATATCCTACTTGCTCTTCAGTTTTGATTTTTTTTCTTTTTAATGAAATATTCTCAGTCCTACAAACACAATGTTCTCTTTTCTCTTCTGAATTTATACCACTGAACATCCGCACTACTAATTTGATATAGGATTAGAATTGCCTTTTGACTATCATTATTGAAAGAAATTGCCACTTAATGTTTTACGTGAGCATGCTGTGTCTTAGCTGAAAAGCAGGGCTAATTGTTGTACCCATTTCATAGGGTGGTTGAGAGGGTTAAATGAGATAACACATTAAATATGTAGAAGAGTGCTAGACACATGGGA